ATCGCCCTGGAGCAACATATCGTCTGAGCGTTTCCTGAGCTCTGAGGATGGTCTGTCGTGTTATCTCTACCTTGAATACCGATTCTTGAGGTAGGGCAGCTAGAGAAAAATTTGGAACAAGACCTGGAACAAGCTCTAGCCGCGCCCTTTTGAATAGTTCTGTCAGAGTTTTTCCAATGCATATAAAAATCTTGTCTGCTCAGTTAAAGCGTGTCCGGAAAACGCTATTCCGAATTTTGTGGCCTGAATGATCAAACTGGAAGTCGGGCAGATTTTTGAACAATATTGCGTGTAAGGCCAGGCAGCGTTCCAGATTCAACGCGCTTTCAAGCGCAGCTACACGCATTGCTGCGTGTTAGAGCCCGTTTGGGCGCTTCAACACTCAACAGTTACAAGCGCGCTCAGCAATATTCTACTATTCCTATCCCAGTGACCTCCTAAACATGAATATCACATCCGCTTGCCCCGAAACCGCCTGGCACCCGCGTCCAGGCGCCGACGCCAGAACATTATATACCATTTTCACTTTAAATCGGACACTTTTCAAACCAAATCGGACACTTTTCAAACCAAATCGGACACTTTTCAAACCAAATCGGACACTTTTCAAACCAAATCGGACACTTTTCAAACCAAATCGGACACTTTTCAAACCAAATCGGACACTTTTCAAATCAAATCGGACACACCCCTTACAATCAGGTGACACCAATGGAAGCTCCGCCCACTTTGGGAAGCCCCGCCCACTTTTCGAAAATGATGCAAATCGGCGGGCTAGTGTCCGTACTGGCCTCGATTAGGACAGAATTAAAAAAGGGAAAAAAACCGGAGAAAAGGAAAATTTGTTCACGAGTCGACGATGAGAGGCCGTAATCCGCCAGTACGGACACTAGCCCGCCGATTTGCATCATTTTCGAAAAGTGGGCGGGGCTTCCCCAAAGTGGGCGGAGCTTCCATTGGTGGGCGGAGCCAATCGCTAAAGCCTAAAAAGCGAAAATCCGGAAGAAAAACAAAATTCCGCGAACACAAGTGGGCGGGGTCAGAGGGGCGGGGCCTGGTGTGCTGTGCATGGTTATTCGTTTTGTGAAGATTGGATGTGAAAAGAACTACGTCGAAAAAAGTTATAAAGTGCAGAACTTACGTAACTTTATTGTCAAGTGGGCGAAGTCAGATCTGATAGGTATCAATCTTTTTCAGATTGAAGGCACGGATGCCAGTGTGTGCAAGGCAAAAACGAAAAGTCGAGAGCAGATTTCATGAAGCATCTCGGAAAACCCTGTCCGCGCTGAGAAGTGGGCGGGATAATGGGGCGGGCTTGCAACAGTACCTAGTGTGGTCTAGTTATCAACCACCTAATTGTAAGGGGTGTGTCCGATTTGATTTGAAAAGTGTCCGATTGCGCTCCTCGCCAAGATCGCCCTCCACCCATCGCACGTGTTTGAATAAGTGTCGATTGCTTTGAAAAGTGTCCGATTTTTTTGGGAAGTGTTCGATCTGATTTGAAAAGTGTCCGATTTGGTTTGAAAAGTGTCCGATTTGAAGTGAAAATGGTATAAATCACCAAAATGTAAACTTGCACACGGAACTAACCCTCCTGAGGAACAAGGGTATGGCCCGAAACCGCCCATTGGCCCCCCCGCAGCGCCTAAAATCACTCAAGAATCATGAAAATCCGCATCGGGTTTAACTTGACCATCCGTGATCATCGAATACTTCTACTCCTGGCCACCGGATTACATGGGGGGGGGGGGGGCACTACGATCACTTGCGCTCTGCTAAGATGAGATTCTCATGATGGGAACCACTCCTTCTCCCAAGTTCAGCCCTAGCAGAGTCGTTTAATAAAAAAGGGCCCGGCATGCTTGTCTAAAAGATAAGTGCAATATCCGGTGATCAAGGCGTCTAACAACCCTACTACGCAAGTTTTTTCCGAGTTTGGGCGAAAACGGTGTTGCGCCGATGTCAAAAATCAATGCGATATCCGTGATCAGAATGTCAATTAACCCCGTGCAAGGTTTCATCAATTCCGGTGAGAAAGATGGTAGCGACAGCCTGGTGCCTTGCGCCAGATGGCGCCAGCGCTAAAAAGTAATGTCCTGTTCGTGATCAGGGCTTCGGATTACCCCTGTAGTCAAAGTTTCAGCGAAAAAAATTCTCGAGTATTATGGGTAGGTGTAGTTCAATAGTGCCGCGCGCGCCTGCAATTTTAGCGCGATGAAGCGCCGCTATAGCGCGCTTTCAAGACACATGGTACGATCATACATAGTTTGGGTGTGGATGATACCAGCCCCCCCCCCCCGTCGAAGCCCGTAGCGGTTTCCCCCCGAAAACATGCCCGCGGAATGCAAGATCCAGTCATCTGGGACACACGCTAATTCCTCCATGCTTTGTGTATTTCTTTTTGTGGGACATGCAGCGGCGGCCCTCTGAGAGCGATGCTAAAGAAGCACAGATTGCCTCTAAGCTTTCTGGCCCCTCGTCATCATCATTTCGAATTTTGCAGCTTCACCTCAAATATCAGTAGCGATCCAATTGGTATTCCAAAGCTGCCCAAAGCCACACGATCTTGGCAAGGCTAGCCAGGGGCGCTGCGCGCGACCCGTGCCACGCGGACGACTGTAAACGGGATCGGGAATCCGCAAGATGCATTCTAGGCGGAGCATGGAGGGATTAGCACGTTCCATTGTCCTGAATCTCCATTCCTGCGCATGTTCCGACAGCGAAACCGCTACGCTTTCGACAGCTGGGGGACAGCGGGGGGAAGGGGGCTGATAGTCACGCACACCGAAACTATGTGTGATCGTACCATGTGTCTTGAACACGCGTTACTGCGCGGCAGCACGGCGCAGCAACACGCGTTGAAGCGCAGCAATGGGTGTTGCGGCTGTACAGCGCTTGAGTCTGAACGCTGCCTAACCTCCGTATGTGGGTTGCATCGATTTTGGTGATTTAGGGTGACTTGGCACCGGCACCTGTGGCGCGGCGCCACGCGGTTTCAGGCCACGTGAAAGCGCGTTCAGTCTGAACGGTGCCTTGTCGCGGACGTGATGAGCGAGCCTGCTGTATGCTCTTCAATCTGAACTTTGCCCCCCAGTGATTGCATCTTGAATCAATTTAGCTAAGAGGTCCATCGAAGCCTTTGAGGGTTTCTTTCACTGAAGGCACCATCTGCTCTTGAAGAAACTGAGCAATAGGCTGCACGGCAAACGTGGAATTGAGTCCTTCGTTGCAAAAAGCGACTAATGCATCATAAGGGTTGGAACAGTGCGCTTTCAAGTGACATCAATTTTTGCCACTGTCATCTGTGAGGAATAAACAGAAAAGCATAAAAAGAATTGTTGAATTTGGAAAGTACTTTGAGGTTTCTCCCAGTCTGATACTCGGATGGCTTTGTTTATGGTGATGGGTTCTCTTTAGAGATAAACATAGAAAATCTCGACGTATCTTAAAAGTAGATTTTAGATTTGATCCCGTTGCTAATGAATGGTCGAGTGACATCGTGCCAATGCGCACATGTCGTAGCAGTGTTGGTGTGACTGTGCTGAACGGCTTTCTTTATGCATCAGGCGGTCTTGACGACAGCGGCAAGGCTCTGGACACTGTGGAACGGTGAAGAAACATTCGGGCTGCTTTTGATTGCGTTAGTTTATATTGACGTTGTCCACAATTCCTCCGCGTACATTTCTTTGAAGTGTTGATTCAGATTCTGTCCGCAGCTTATGTTGGGCGATCTATTTATGTGGTCTGGATAGTGTGCGCCACAGTTGGCCTATATTGTCCTCGCCAGCGCGCTGTTCCGCTTCACACCAAAACGGTGGCGATATTTCCTCCATTTGGTGCACACTTCGCCACACTCGCTAAATGACACACTTCGCTAAATGAATCTCACCAACACGGCGTGGTTGGAGTCACACGCAGCATTTGCTCTGAGTCTTTCGTGATACTACCTTCCATAGCACGGCGCTGGAATGGCCCGACCGCTTTGCTCAAGTGACTTCTATCTCGGAGACAAACCTCGTCCAGGGAAGCCATCTGCCTTGGATTTAGACCTACTGCGTCCCTTGATCAAAACCAGTCTTTACGAAGTAGCTCGCTATCTAAACCCCACACTCGTCCGTTCCGAGAGCGCGAATGACAGAAATCCACTACTTTGGGAAAATGTTGAAAATCATTTGAAGTTTTCTCGTGTATTGAGCGATACTCAGGAAGGAGCTCAGATGGGTACTGTTTGGAATTTCCCTCGCGCTCGTGCCATACGGACTGGTTGAACAACGTTGTGACTGGATATGGAGGAGGTGTCTCAAGATTAATTTTTCCCTGAAGCGCTTGGCTAGATTCTCCAGAAAGAGGCAGAACCGGTCATGCAATCCTATAATTCAGTGGGGCGGTGATACTGTGTATGCGGTAGGGTTTACCGCAGGGACTTTCTCCCTCTCAACGCTGTGATAACCAGCGAGCCTTATCATACTCATCTGCAGAGGGAAGATGAAAATCTCCACTATTTGATCTCACAAGTCAGCAGTGTTCCTCTGTTCCACGACGGCTCAGGGTCACTCCTTTTGAAAATGACACTGCTCGAGATCCTTGAGCTTGCTGGAGAATTACACCATTTTTCGTGTGACCCTGACTTAGCTCTCACTAACTGTCACCCTCAATCCTCAGTGGTCATCTTCTCAGTTAAAAAGCGTTTTTCTAAAGCACCTCAACAATAACCCGGCTGCTTTTCTCTGCACGGAACCAAGGAAGAAAGGCACACCCTTTGCTCGGTGGCTGGCAACAAGTTGAGGTAACATAGAGGTAATATAGTATATAATAATATATATTGTAATATATGGTAATATGGTAATATATATTGTATTAATATATTGCATTGATGACATATCGTAAATCGGAACTGCTTTCATTGGAATAAACTTGTTTCGGAAAAGAAGTTAGACAATGTTACGAACTTTTACTACAGATATGATCCTCAACAAAAAGAGTGGGTTCGTGTGGCACCCATGGGCACACCACGATACGCCCATTCTGTGTCGGTGCTTGACGGATATTTATATGCCATTGGAGGACACGATGGGAAATCAAGTCTGAACACTGTGGAAAGGTAAATTGGTGCTCATTTTGCCGCTCTGTTTTTTTCTCATCAAAGTTTCGCAGTGGAATAATAGTTTTTGGAAAAACCTGTCATTCTTAGTTGTACAAAGACCATCACATCGCCATGTGAACTGGCGGAGAAACGATCACTTGTGATCGAATTAAGCCAGCATACTGACTTTTCAACGTGCCTGTAACATTCAACTTTCAGATTTGATCCACGTACGGGAAGATGGGAGTTTGTTCGTCCGATGTCAACATGTCGAAGATATCTAGGATCTGCAGTGCTCGATGGGCACTTGTATGCAGCAGGTGGAAGAGATGAGTCATCCAATGACCTTAGCTCAGTTGAGAAATACAACCCTCTTACTGATGAATGGACCGAAGTGGCTGCAATGAAGGAGAAGCGATTCAGTGTGAGTCTGCGCACAGTATTTCCTATGAATCACTTTGTTTCTACAGATGTAAGCAAAATCAACAAGATTTATTTGTAGGTGAAACTTGTCGTTGCCAATGAAAAACTTTATGCTGTGGGTGGACATGGCACTTCTGACCAGGATTCCGTTGAAGTATTCGATCCTGAGACAAATAAGTCTTGTTGATTTTGCTTATATCTGTAGAAACAAAGTGATTCATAGGAAATACTGTGCGCAGACTCACACTGCATCGCTTCTCCTTCATTGCAGCCACTTCGGTCCATTCATCAGTAAGAGGGTTGTATTTCTCAACTGAGTCACGGGATGTCTCATCTCTTCCACCTGCTGCATACAAGTGCCCA